TACCAGTATGTAGTCTAATCACACTAGCAACCGTCTGCGATAGAGAGGGGGGAAGCTGAATGTAATTTAGAAGAAGGTTGGCTTGCGGAAAGCAAAGAAAATTTCCCCCACCCACCCCGCATACACACACCCATCCACTCGGCATACCACACCCATACCTTTTCCCCATTAATCCAAATACTGCACTCGAGCACCGTACTGTACCATACAGCACTTGTACTGTAAACTACATATAATAATTTTAGACTTTCCCACCTATCGTCGCCATGCTCTTGGGCGCATACCGGTACTATCCCTTTTTCTTCGCGCCCAACCTTTATAATTCTCTCTCCCTCGTTTTTGTCCGCCCTACATTATTTCCACCCTTCCTACCAAGTCAAAGCTATACGAAATTCTACCCTCCTTCTTCAACCGGTCCTTCCCCTGTGGTTGGCTTTCGCCCGCGCAATATTAGCACCTGCTTGCGTTTATTCCCGTTGCACACAAAAAGACCAACCCTCACCCGCACTTTTTCATCAACAGCCGACGGCCTTTCCTCCGTACAGTCGACCCTTCTCAAAAAAAGGTCCGTCCCCTCGTGCTACGACGAGCCCTCTCGGTTCTCTTCCTCTCCTTCATACTCCTCCCACGCCTCTTCGTCGCTGGTCCTCATGGGTAGCGGTTCTTCAAAGCCCGTTAAGAATACAAGCGGAAATAGCCGTCGGTCGTTACACACCGCTTCCTCTCAATCGACCACAGCAACATCGAAGAGACGGTCTATAGTTCCTCCCCGCCTGAAAAATGGGGAGCGCGAGGCTTTCACTGCTGCAATTGACCAGGGAACTACGAGTTCACGTTTTCTGATCTTCGACGGATCCGGTACTCCCCGGGCTGGTCACCAAGTCGAATTTGAACAGTTATATCCGCACTCGGGGTAATTGGTCCCGGATATATACATAAAAAAAACACTCCCCCCAGAAAAAAAATGCGTATTTTATGCCGATAATCTAGGTGCTAATCTCTCCATGGGCATATGCAGATGGGTTGAGCATGATCCATATGAAATCTTAAATTCTGTGAATGAGTGCATAGAAAACGCCACTAAAATGTTTTTCGACCAAGGTTATGGGGTGGGTGATATCAAAGCATTGGGAATCACAAATCAGCGTGAAACAACTGTAATATCCCCACATTGTCCCAAATTTACCCTTTTTCTATTAAGACGACTATCGCTAAATTTTCGTCTTTGCGATTTATCATAACCCAGGTGGTATGGGATACCGAAACAGGAAAGCCGCTCTACAATGCCATCGTATGGCCGGATACCCGAACCTCAAAATTAGTTCACGAATTGCGCAGAAAAGGAGGTTCAGAGAAGCTCCAGCAACTCTGTGGCTTGCCGCTATCCACATATCCATCGAGTGTTAAGCTAATGTGGATGTTGCGACACGTTCCGGCTGTCCAATCTGCGCTCAAAAAGGATCGGCTTTCGTTCGGGACGGTTGATACCTGGTTATTATACAACCTTACCGGCGGCGTAAAGAATGGACTTCATGTTACCGATCCAACTAATGCATCTAGGACTATGTTTTGTAACATCAACACATTGGAATACGATGACTTTCTAATCGATTGGTTTGGGGTAAGGGGAGTGAAACTACCAAAGATCGTCCCATCCTCAGACCCCGATGCATATGGCAGCATTAGTGATGGTGCTCTCGCTGGAACAAAAATTGCTGGCTGCCTCGGAGACCAGAGCGCTGCCTTGGTCGGGCAATGTGCTTTCACTCCCGGAATGGCGAAGAATACTTATGGAACTGGTTGTTTCCTCCTCTATAACACCGGCTATGAGCCGGTCTTGTCGGAGAACGGCCTTCTAACCACGGTGGCCTATGCCTTCAAGGGCTTCAAGCCGGTATATGCCTTAGAAGGTGCGTGTTCCCAATGCCCGCTGGGTGATTTCCCCCGACTAAGCTCGTGTGTCCAGGATCTATCGCTGTTGCTGGCTCGGCCGTCAAGTTTCTGCGAGATAACCTCGGGCTCATAAAAGAATCCGGCGAAATAGGCGAACTTGCTGCCAAAGTACCTGGTAGGTGGAGACGCTGAAGATTTGATACCAAGAGTTACCCGGGGCACAGAGCTAACATGGCACTCCTTCCAGACACAGGCGGCGTCGTTTTCGTGACGGCTTTCTCTGGCCTTTTTGCCCCGTACTGGATTGATGATGCCCAGGGTACCATATGTGAGTAGCTGGATTTCTCTTTCATTTGGTTCGCTCCCGTCGCGGCATCGCATGTGTCGGAAACGAGAAAACTTATGCAGGGTTTCTTGCAGTCGGTATCACACAATATACAACCAAGGAACATATTGCAAGAGCAACCATCGAGGCAACATGCTATCAGACAAAGGCCATCTTGACCGCAATGGAGAAAGATAGTGGAACGGCGTTGCATGCGCTTGCCGTTGATGGGGGTATGAGCAATTCCGATGTTTGTATGCAGGTATGGGATTAAAATCACTTTTCCAAAACGATTTGCCCTCCGCCACTGACCAAGGATGTCGAGCTCACAGCTCCAGGCCGACATTATGGGTAAGTGACAACTAAACCCATTAGTGTGGGCGATGAAAAAACGAACCCCCTAAAAAACCCACAGCCAGGTTCTACCCTTTTTCCATCAATAAACTAACTACGATAACAACTATGACTGGCCACAGGTATCGATGTTGACCGGCCCAAAATGCGAGAAACAACGGCACTTGGGGCAGCGATAGCGGCAGGGTTCGCAGTGAACATGTGGAAAGGGTTTGATGAACTCAAAAGCGTCAACCGTGACGACCGCAAGACGTTTAGTCCTAAAACCGACGAGGGCACTAGGGAAAAGTGGTTTAACCTTTGGGGCAAAGCCGTTGAGAGATCCCGGGGGTGGGTGGACAACGACGCTGCGGATGAGGACCTCGAGTAGAAGGGATCGCCCGAATTGGTGTGTTGAAGGATATAGAATAAAACTTCATTCATCCATTCCCAGCCCTCCCCCCTCTCCAATTGCATCCCCGGCGACGCAGATGCTCCGCTTCTGACTAGCCATTGCCAAAAAAAAAACAAAAAAAACAGTATCATAATTCTGCAGGCTTAAGTTCCGGGATAGGGTCTTTCTAGACCTTTCCAAAAAAAACTCTTTTTCTCTTCGCAAGGAATCCTCCACTAACTTGCTACAGGGATGTTTTAGATCTCTCGGGCTAGGCTTTTTTCGTTCAGTTTCGTTTCGTCTTCTCAGCGTGTTTTTTTTTTTTTTTTCCTTTCCACTTCCCTCAATATTTCTTGATCCCTATACCAACCAATTCCTGACCCGCGTCCCCCAGAATACCTGGCAGTTTTCCTTTTTCTCTCTCTTCCCAACAGCAAACGGATTATGTACGATAACGAGTGACATATGAGACATTCGGTAATTATGCATTACTCGAGTACAATTTTACCTCTTACCCTCGCCACCTCTTGGCTGAGATTTTAGACGAAAATGTGGCGCCACGGAGGGGGGGGGTGTACCGGATGATAGGAAAAAAAGTCTATTAAGTTGACTTGTTTCAAGGGCATGAGGAACCAGGTATGGGGGAACGAGGTGATTTTCCTCGGGTCTTAATCGTATATTACATTGCATGTGTGGTTGTTGTCGAGGTGTAAGATGCGAGAAGGAGTTGGAAAACACGCAATTATATTTCCGCGTGTTACTCTCTTTTGCACTCGATTACCAAAACCATCCCTTGTCCAAACTTTCCAATTCTCCCCTTCGCGCCTTATTACCCTAAGCCGGATGCCACCATCCCAGGAGCGAAGATCACAAGGTTCATTCGTTCCTACTAGAGTATCATACTGTACTTCATACCGCGTCCACACATTACCTTCGGCGCCGAGGCTCGGTTAGTTAGGTAGCACTTGGGAGACGAGGGACGCACTGTGCTTTACTCATACATGCCATACCTTACATCGCAAACCTCTCCGAGGGAACCCAAAATTTAGAATACCATAACCAAACAAGATGCCATTCCAATCTCGCGCTATTTCTTCTACCTTCCGCGTCTCCACCTCTGCTTATTGTGCCATCTGATACAACGGTAACACTCCCTGGCTCTCAATTAAAAAGTGCCGACAAATACGGTACGGTACGGTGCGGTACGGTACGGTACTACTCTTTACCCGACAGATACTAATGCAAGGATGGTGATGGTAGGAATCATGTCCCGGGCACCAGACACACCCTAATCGAAGATCAAACGGCCCAGGGCATCTAATCCTCATCTCATCTCCATCGCACCACACACATCAGGTCATATCACGTAGTGGTATCGCATGGCATAGCCTGCCAGAAGGCATATCATAGGGTAGAATGGAACATGAGTGGTATTAGTGGATAGGTGAGATGGAGGGTGGGATGGGGAAGGGTCGGGCCGAAGGCGTACCCGTTATGAAACGGCGGCCAAGTAGGCATGGCAGGAGTCTAGGCTTACAGGTACTGTACTTGTCCCGGGCGAGAAGTCTCCGAAAATACGAGTCGTGAGTTTTTATGGGTGCTGGGATAGGCACGGATATTTTACCATGTATTTACGAACCCTGTTTTCGGATACTTATTGCCTGGAACAAGTCGACGGTAGGGAGGATGGATGGATGGACGAAAGCCTAGAGCGCGCGAAGGAAGAACTGATGAGCCGACGGGAAGAGGGCAGGGAGCAGGTGGGTGTTTATTGGCATGGCGATGGCAATGGGCCGGCCATAGGTTGTGATTTAGGGGGAGGTTTAGTTAGAGCTGGGAGAGTGTATTAGCGCCCACACTACTCGAGCAAGTTACCAATGCTGAAGTAGTTGTATCGCATGTGGGACCCGTGCGGTCGGAGATATGGTAGTAACTTAGTACCGGCAGTAGATTATGTAACGAATCATTCCAGTACTCGTACGGTAAATTCGATTGGGGTGCTTACAGTACTCAGTGCTGCGTGCGGTGCCACCTTGTTCCGGGGGTAGTTGGACTGTTCTATAGTACCGTAGATCCTAACTTGCAGCTGGGATGGGACTTTTAGCTTCCTCCCAACCTGATTCGCCAGACTCTACCACCTAACAATGCATGCCATTTCCGCCTTGTAATTCTCTCACTGACCTGACCCCCAACATATAAAGACATGAGGCTATCCTCCGATATCCTGTTAAAGTTACAGAAGCCCAACTACCTCACCCTACAGCTACTCAACAAAGCTCACTTTACTCACTCACCGCCTGGCTCGGCCTCATTCTCTCTAAAAACTCTTATATCAACCATATACTATCGTTTCCATCAGATATACCATTGGCTACCACTACTACTAGTGCTATTACTAGTCGTACCATAGCTATTATACTAGCATTGTTAGCTACTACGTACTACTGCTTCCGCTGCCGTACTGCCCTCTTCTCGGTAGGCCCGGTTGGGGGGAAACCTCTTTTTTACTTTTGCATTTGCGCATCCACACAACTCGGTCGAGAGTAGTCAACTCCATCCTTTTGAACCAACCCCACCTCAACCCGAAAAAATCAAATAGGGAAATAGCAAACCTTTATCTTTGCGGCAATGTGCGACTACAAAAAGGTCGTGTATACTGGTTGCGGTAAGTCAAAAGACATCGCCATCCAGATCTTGTTAATATCACGAATGCTGCCGTGCAACTCGAGATATTCAGCACCCTTGCAGAAGCCCCCCTCCCCCCCACGCCCGAAATTAAAATATGAAAATGAAAATGGAAAAATGCGATGCTATGAAGAAAGACTGACGATCAGATCGAAATGGAAAAAAAAAAAATTCTAGCGGAATTTCATTCCCGCTTTTGAATTTTTTTTTTTTCTCTTGAACCTTTTTTCTCCGAAAAATATAGGGCATTTCAGATTACTTGTCAAAGCTTGGTGCAATTTATACGTATCGAGTCAGGGGACAAAGCGGTGCATTGTCAACGTGGTTGGGGAAGAAGAGAGGCCCGGCGAGAGGTGTAGCAGTATGTGAAATACATTTCCTCTGCCCTCCCTTCTCCTGCCTCCTTCCCTCCCTGCTCCCTCTCCCTTTCTGCCTCCCCTCGAATCCCGTGCCACGCCCAGTACGAGTACCAATTAAGGGCCCTTGGTGAAGGAGGGGTGATCGTTTCGATCATATGCTAATCTTGGGGGGTCTGCTTTTCCATTTCCTACGTTTCCTATAGGTACATGCGGTCGTTAGTCCGATAACTCTCTTCTTGCTATCCACCACCGAGAAGCACTTGGACGTCCGTTGTCTCATACACCCACCACCAACCAACCAAGCAGCATAAATCCTTCTTCCTGATGGGCAATGGATAAGCTGGGAACCGCAGGACAGTGGTTTAGTATATTGGGAACCTCTGGAGTTTTTTTTATTTTTTACTTTTCATTTTTTACTTTTTTTACCTTCCTCTAGTCATGGGCTCTGGGGTGTAGAGCTTATTAAGTTGGTGAGAGCCAGCTTACTTGCAGCACCCTGGAACCATCGGTGGATCCAAAAGTTGTTGTATGGGTACATTAGAGGTTGAGGGCTTTTAGACAAATTATGAGTTTTGATGGCGCAAAAAAATTGGTGTTTTTCTTTTACTTTCCCTTGCTTCCCATCCTACTATATTGTTGATATAACGTTTTTTGACTTCCGGTATTGTTTTTTTCTCATGGTTTTTTTCACTGGTTAAACTATTTTCTCCACTTCTCTATCTCCCTTTCCTTCTCAGAGTTGCCCCTCAGCCAGGCAGGCAGGGAAGTAGCGGCCCGCTAGGAGGGCTAAGTCAGAAGAGCCGGGTTTTGTAATGTGGTTCATCTTGCAAATTGGCTTTTCTACTAAGGATATGGGGGCTGCACTTTCTTCCCCATCATTCCGCCCTCTCTACCCGTTTCTGTCTGCCTAAATCACATGCGTGGATTCTGGGGACTATGACGGGATAATACCGGTAATCGGGTGAGAATTATGGGTACGATAGATATCCTTTCCCACTTCATTCTCGATACCCCAGGGGAGTTATCTTTCCTGTTATTTCTCTACGCCCTAGATTTCCTTGCTCATTCCATTAGCTGTTTAGAATTTTGGTTATGGATTTATGCTCTTGGTTTTTTTGCTTTTCACTCATCCGTAGTTCATTCTTTCCTTTTTCGTAAGGTAGTTGTGTGTTTTTTGTTTTTTTACTGTACTCTAGTAGGCTACAGTACAACGTTAGCCATAAGTGAACACGCTCTGGCACAACACAACCTCTTTTTCTTCAAAAGGAGGGAGTCCTACCCTATGTTCTATTCCTCACCTCGGCGGATCCCTGCCTTGCTTATTTTAATGCACACTTGTGCTGTACGAGTACTGTACGAGTACTCGAGTCTGGTAGAAAGGGCAGTGCACGGTCTGCACTGA